TGCAAATAGGATTTTACTTCAGTGTTTTTCTTGTAATATCCACAGGATATTGGTCAAATGCTGTGCAAATAATACAATTACTATAATTTTCACTGACACCTATTTACTTTGGATTATGTCAAGGTGTGTATGCTTTGGGCTTTTTAGAAATCACATCACTTCCCTCATAATATTTGCTCACAAAAATCATAAAGAGAAGGCATTCATAGCTTAACATTATCTTTGTACTGCAGCTATGAACTGATGGTCCATTTTTTCATTATAACTGTCATCATATTCATCTTATTAAATTATAAGCCTCATGAGGGCAAAGGCCATTGATTTTTTACTTTTTATATTTTCCCTGTAACTATAATTGTGCTCTGTATGTAGGTAAGCTCTTCAAGGTCCACTGAAACTAATCATATAAGACCAATTTTTTTTCCATGAGAATTCTACCTGAATTTGTTTCCAATTGTCTTTACTCTGGAAATTTCAAAGCACAGCTACAAAGAAACACAGATATGAATTTATATATTAATGGATTTTTAAAATCTTGAGCTGTGTTTCATCAATGTAGGGAACTCTCTGTAAAGAAACACCTTCTACAGACAAACAATATGATATTGATTATACATGGGATGTCATGCAAAACATATTTCCATATTAGCCATGTTGCAAAAGAAAACACAAAAAAGCTAAAAAAAATAAAGTAAAAAAAAAGTATGTTTCAATCTGTATTCAGAGTTCATCAGTTCTCTCTCTGGAGGTACATAATATTTTTCATTAAGGGTCCTTTGGAATTGTCTTGGAGCATTGTCTTGATCAAAGCAGCTAAGTATTTTATAGTTTATCATGTTTACAACATTGCTGTTACTGTGTACAATGTTCTCCTGGTTCTGCTCTCTTCACTTCAAACTAGCTTTTCAAATAATTATTTTCCAATAACTACTGGCATTTTCTTCCATTCTGCACTACTTGAATCTTTCAAAATTGCTCAGTAACAAAATCCAAGAAAACTAGCTAAAATAAAATGTTAATAACACTACAAAATAATTCAAAAAAATTTAAAAGACTAAAGGACTGTATTTGCAAATGTTGAAATGACTACTTATAATCGATCTTACTTAAAAATAAAATAGGTATATAGTATTCTTTCTTGGAAAAAAAACACAACTTCTATTCAACTGAAACTGCTCTGTCTAAAGTTATCCGTGATTTCTTAATCGACAAATCAGATGGCCTTTTCTTAACTGCCATCCTTCTGGGTCTGTTGCACGTGACAATGCTGATCATTCCCTCCTCATACATACTCTTTCCTCACTATTTTTGTGACACTACTCACTCTTGGTTCTCTTATCTGACTACTACTTTTCATTCTTTGCTGGATCATCATTACTTTAGTCCCTTAACTCTGGGTATATTCCAAGACTGTACTGGACTCTCTTCATTTCTCAATCTATAATCTCTGAGAACTCACCATCTCCCGTTGGTTCAACTGTTATGTCTACACAGATGATTACTAGATGTATATATCTAGCTATATAATCTCAACTCCAGACCTGCACCATCAACAGGTTTTTGCATATTTTTCCAAGTGGATATCTACAGGCCTCTCAAATTCAATATATTAAAAATAGAAGTCATTATCTCCTCCCCCAACCAAACCCACTCTTTCAAACTTCTTTATTTCTGTTGAATATACCACCATACTTCCAGTCACAAGCATTTGCAACTTTTCAGTCACCTCTGCCTCCTCACTCTTCCTTACCCCACATACTAATGAGTGGCCAAGTTTTGTCAATTCTATCTCTACATCTCTCTCATCCATCTCCTTCTTTCCACTCCACAACCACCCTAGTTTAGGGTCTCCTCACCACTCACTTAGACTATTGCATTTTAAATTGGTCTCCTTCACAAGACTGCTAAAGTGACATTACTGAAGTAAGGTATGACTTATGTTACTTCCTTGCTCAATAAATTCTAGTGGCTTCCTACTGCCCCAGGCTAAAAAATAAAGTGCTTTGTTTGGTGTTTAAAATGCTTCACAACCTGCCTCCAGTCTACTTTTCCAGCCTTATTATACACTAATATATATATGAAAGGGAGCTCTGTGTCCAGCCAAATTGGCCTTGCTTTGCCCAAATACAACATTATAGGCTGTTCCACACCTGCATTCCTGGAATGCACTCCCTGCTCACCTCTTCCTCTTAGAATAGATCAACTCACATACCACCATACGAAGTCTTTCCTGATTTCCACAGTCACTGGTACTTTTTCTTAAAAATTACCTTGTATTTATTTTGTATATATTATATGTATACCTTATCTCCCTTTAGAGAATGTAAGCTCTTTAAGAATAAGGACTATTTTATTTATGTCTTTGTTATCTCCAGCATCCACTTCAGTCCTGGCAGAGGAAGCATTTAATAAATACTTACTAATTGACTATAGATGGTAACTGCTTGGCAGCTTATAGGCTTAGTTGCCTGGGATACTAAGAAGTTAAGTCCAAGTTACCAAGCATTTATTAAAAACTTACTATGTTCCAAGGACTGTGCAAAGTGTAGGGGATTTAAAGAAAGGCAAAAGATAGTCCCTGTTCTCAAGGAGCTCACAATCTAATTGGGGAGACAGCATGGAAACATGTAGTAACTTGTCTAGGGTCACAAAGCTGAATCCAGATCTTTTAGACTCCAAGGTCTGCTTTCTATTCACTGTCAGTGTCTCTATAATAGAAATCACTTTTTACATTTTATTGACAACATTCATGACTACAGTTATATGCATTCCTCTACAAATAAAAGTATCTCTCCTTACTAATGCTGAACAACTATTAGACTATTTAACGGTTTATTTAGAGGTTTATTTAATTCAAGTGAATACTACTAACCTAGGGTAATAATAAAGCCTTCAGGAAATGAGCACCCAGTTCATTTTTTTTACCTTTCTCTAATGGGTTAAAAAGTGTCTAATGTGTTAACAAATTAAATCAACTTTCAGGCAGAAGGCAAAACTGTCAACTGAATGATTCTCAACCAAGTCCTTCACAGGCAGTCCAACCAATGAAGTTGAGAGGCAGAGTATGTTTTCCCCTAAATTCTTTGTTCCTGCTAGGTGACTTGTCTATACCCTTTTATGGTTATACATTTCTCCAATAAAATTTATGCCCGTTCTCAGTGGTAATATGAGGTGACCTTCAACTTTAATTCTTCAGAATGATATTTCATGCCTCACAGCCTAAATGTTTATGTTAAAAAGATGGGCCTTTGGGGGAGCAGTTTGGGGTGATTTAAAGAAAGCACTGAGTAATTTCCCAAATGCCAGCTCCTCCCCTTTAAATAACTGAAAACAGCTATCTATTATGGTCAATAAATTGTCTCCAGTCTACGTATCCTTAATTGGTCCAAACATTGCTCCTCTGACATAATTTGCAGTTTCCTTCCCATTTTACTTGGTCATTTCAAAACAAGAGCCAGCTTTTTTTCCCTCAAATATAGTGTCCAAACACTTATGATGGTTCACAAACACCGTATTCCAGCTATTTGACCAAGGAATGACAGGACTGTCATTTCCCTCTTTCCCAGAGATTCTTACCTTGGGGCCCAAACACATTTTTTCTTTAAAAAAATTGTTTTGATAACTATTTCAATATAATTGGTTTCCTTTATTATCTTATGTATTTTATTTTATGCACTAAGAAATATTCTGAGAAAGGGTCCATAGGCATCATTAGGTTGCCAAGGGGGACTATCACACAAAAACTCCCTGTTCTAGAGGAAGACTTGAGGAAACTAGACGTGTAATGGTTACAGCCCTGGATGTGGAGTCAGGAAAATCTCAGTCCAAATCCTGACTCAAACACTTACTAGCTGTGTGACTTTAAGGAGGTCACAATCTCTGTTTGTTTCCCCATATGTAAAATGGGGATAAGACGGCACCTACCTCCCAGGGTTGGGAGGAGATAATATATGTAAATCACTTTGCAAACCTTAAAGATCGATATAAATGCCAGCTATTATTATCAGACACTTCTATTAATGGAATGTATAGGTTGAAAAGGCAATTAGCAAGCAACAAGCATTTATTAAGCCAAGCATATGAAAAGCAAGAAATGAAACAAGGTAAAAAAGATCTGGGCTTAAGTCTCTCTCTGACCTCTACTAGTTGTGTGATCCTGGCCAAGTCATTTAAACTGATAGTGCCACAGGCAACTATTTAATAAGTTACAGAACAGTTGCTGATTCGCATACGGGTAGAGGGAGTGTCCTCATCAGGAATTCTTTACAGCAATAAAATCAGAGCACGTCCAGTCCAAAGGGGGAAAAATGTTTTAAAGGCTTGGAATTAAGCGAAAGGGGCTGGACCAAGAGGTGTCTGAGGTGTCTTCCCTTAGAGAGCATCTCACCTGACCCAGAATGAAAAGTGACTGGGTCGTCAAGGTCACCCAAGTACTACGGAGTCGAGGAGCTGCACCCCAGGGTTCTTGACTCCAAATCCAGGGCGCTCGCCTCTCTAGATGGGGCCGCCAAGGAGCCCCCAAGGGCTCCCGGTCTCCTCCTGCACAGTCAAGGGCCGGAATCCGGCGGCGTCCCTAGCTCCTGCCCTCTCACGGCTTCCGTCCTCGCCCGCACGGGACCCCGCCCCCCGCCCTCCGCCCCCCTCTCGTCCCAGCCCGGCCTGGCTCGCGCTGAGGCGACAGCGGCGGTTCCCACACCCTGGGACGGCCTACGACAGAGGACTTGGCCCCCCCCGGGCCCCTCACCTAGCTGGCGGCGGTCGCAACGGCTCTCGGGGACCCAGACACAGGGGCCGGAGTCCGCGACTGAGCCTGGGACTGCCAGGGGATATCTAGCTAAGCCGAGGAGGTGGTCGCGCCTGCGCAAACAAACTATAAACAAGCCCTCCCTCCTTCCCGTGGCCGCCGCACTCGGTTGGGAGAGAGCGGAGTGGAAGGGTGAGAAGGAAGGCGGGGTGAAAGAGGAGGGGGAGGGGGTGGCCTCTGGGAAAGCTAGGGACGGCGCCTGCGCAGTGGGTGTGATCCGGGCACTTGGGGCAGGATGAACGCTGCTTTCCAAGATGGCGACGGAGGGAGGAGGGAAGGAGATGAACGAGATTAAGACCCAGTTCACCACCCGGGAAGGTCTTTACAAGCTGCTACCGCATTCGGAGTACAGTCGGCCCAACCGAGTGCCCTTCAACTCGCAGGGGTCCAACCCCGTGCGCGTCTCCTTCGTCAACCTTAACGACCAGTCTGGCAACGGCGACCGCCTCTGCTTCAATGTGGGCCGGGAGCTCTACTTCTACATCTACAAGGGGGTCCGCAAGGTACCGACCCGGGCGGCGCCAGGGCCCGCTGGGGGCGGGGGTAGGGGAAGCGACATCGGCACGGGCGGTCGGGAGCGGGACGGGACCTGCCGACGTGACCCGAGCCGGGGAGGAGGCGGCGGCCGCTTCACTTCGGAGTGGGCCGGTAACTCCACTTGAGAGTTCTCACCTCAGCGCCTGAGCTGGGGGAAGGAGGGAGAGAGAGGGGGCGTGAGGCGTGGGGGGGCCTGGGGGGTCTGACTGGGGGAGAGGAAGCCTCGACCCGTCCGGGGAGGCCACCCCCCCCAGGTGGCTGCTTCTCGTCACCCCACCCTCCTCCGCCCCGAGTCTGTCAGGTTGGGTGACAAGCATGGAGCCGGGCCTGCGGAGTCCCTGGGAAAGGGGCGAGGGGGCGGCGGCTGCGCGCTGAGGGGCTCCCCCCAAGAGGACAGGGACGAGGGGCGACTGGGGGAGGGCGGTGAGTCAGGTGGGACCCGCGCCGGGCAGCTGCAGGATCCTGTCCGAAGTCGGAGCGGAGCTGCTCGGCCGCGGGTGGGGGTTCGGCGAGGGGGCTGATCCACCTGCTGCCGCACTTCCGAGGACTCGGTCCTGGCTCGGCTGTTAACACTTTGTATCTCCGAGAGTTCAAGGGAGGGCAGCTGTCGCTGTCTCCTGCGCTAGAACGCACGGGAGTGAATCTTTCCGTAGGAGAGATCGTGAAAGATTGTATCTTGCCTGTTTCTAGAATGTGGATAGGCTAAGTTTTAAACTGAGGGACCGAGTCATCTTACTTTTCCATTATTTCAACTGGTGATACGGGTTCGGCGTGAGGGTATTGGAACTAATCTTGTCAGAGAAGTCGGATCTAAATCATGAAGGTCTAAAAAGCTCCTTCATTTGATCCTTTCCTTTTCTTGGCAAACAACAGTAATTCTTTCGACCAGGCAATCGTCCTCAAGCATGTTCTCCCTTTAAGAAAACAACTTGGTAGAGATTTCATTTGTTACTAAATACTTGTTGACCTTTTGAAATAGATCTTTGAATTTACTATTAGCAGAGGGAAAATAGTGGACTCTCTACATATAATCTGTGCAAGATTATGAACAAGCAAATATGATAAATGCTAATTTTTATTAGTATCTTAAAATATGCACATAACGAATAAGAAAGAATACAGATTTTTTTCTGCGAATAGATTATGTTCAAGTACAGTATTTTAATTTCAGTATTGCAGGGTCACGTGGTGAGTGTGCTGCTGCTGTTTGTAAAGCAGTTGTTTGAAATGTTTTTGCTAGTGATTGTGGTCAAAATGTGATGGAAAATATCGAAAAGAAGCCATTTAATTTTTCTTTTCCTTTTAAAGTTAGGAAGTAAGAAAACATAATCTTGGTCCTGTTCCTAGCTTTGTCACTGACTTGTTGGGTGACCTTTATCAGGTCGGTTCACTTATAACTCCTCTACCATAAAAAAAGATTGGTTGCTGTGAATGTGTGTGTGAATGTGTTGTAAATAATGAATTAATAAGTGTAAAATGCTGTGAAGTCTGCAGAGATGATAAATGGAAAACAGTTACAAGTATAAAGAATAATGGTCAGACAGGAAACTGCCATCTTGATTTTGATACTAGGACTCAAAGGGTCAGTTTTCCGTAGAATTAGTTTCAAAGTTTTAATTGTTAAAATGTATTTTTTATATGCAAAACACCAAAAAGAAAAAAATCTTAACTTTAACCTAAACTGAAAACCAATTGAACCTGCTTGTTATTCTTAAGTGTTACTTTTTTTACCCCACAAGTTTTCTTTTTGAAGCTTTCTCATAGGAAACTTGGTCTGGTCAGTCGTGGTTTACATCATAAAACAGAGCCCATGCCCAAGAATTATCTTTGCAATGGAAGTTCTTGTTAAGAGAGGTAATAACCTTTCTTATAAAATGGTAATACTAAAGTAAAGAGAGATTTGCAAAACTATACTGAAAAGTTCTTGTAAATGACTTTTTAAAAAATAGGAGTTGCATTTACAAAAAAAAATAGAAGCAGGTGGTGATAGTCAGGAAGATGTGAGTTCAAATAAGGCCTCAGACACTTAACTAGCTGTGTGATCCCAGACGAGTCACTTAACCTCAGTTAAATTTGCCTCAGTTTCCTGAACTGTAAAAATGGAGATGACGATAGCACCTACCTTTCAGAGTTGTTATGAGGATCTAATGAGATATTTGTTAAAAATAAATAAAGCGCTTAGCTCCAGACCTGGCACATAGTAAGCTCTGTGTAAATGTTTATTCCCCTCCCCAAATCCCTCATTTGCCTACATGATCCTATTTATACTTTGATGCTAATTTACAATATTTCCTTTTAATGTTTAGCCCTCTTTGGATACCTATGTGAGACACATCGTATCTCTTCTATCCAGCATAAAATACTTAGATTTCTGTTTTTATTGTCTGAATTTGCAATGTATTTCATGTTTCTAATTATTCACATTTATGTAGTCTTTTTTTTCCCAAAGTTTACGAAGTGCTTTCCTCAGAACAACCCTTTGAGTTACGAAGTATGAGTAATATCCCTATTTTACAGATGGGGACACAAATTCTGAGCTACAGTGACTTTCCCCTGGCAATAGATAGCTGGTAAATATCTGAGGCAAGATTTGAATCCCAGTCTCCTGACTCCAAATCTAGCATACTTGCCATTACATTACTCTTTCTTCTATCTGTGTCTTTCAGCTTCTCATTCTAGTAGTAATTTTTTTGTCAGTTTTTTAAAAATTTGAAATACCTTGAAGAATATCTTTAAAAGCTAGAAAATTGAAATTTAATTATTTTACTGTTAAGTGATAATGATGGTTTTAAAATCTAATTTTGACAGTGTGAATTATTTAGACAATCATCCCTTGTATAACAAATTGAACAACATTTATTCAGATCTAGAATTTTCAATTTTGGTAGATTAATTCAACAAGTTGAGACAAATTTGTAGAACATATAGTTTTTTAGAACACTTAAAACATTGACTAATGAATAATAGAGTTTATGAAGATCTTGGTTTTGATATATTGCTGCTCTTGTGGATAAGAAACTGGGATATGATGGTAGTGTAAGGAATTACTTTGGCCCATTGTTATGATTAACTGACCAAATAAAACCTTATGTTTAAACCGAGTCAAACCTTGTGTTAGTAATTGAATTAAAACACAGCTGAACTCACGGTATCATTTTCATCTCTTCCTACTACTGACTGGTTCCCTACAGCCCACAAATGTGCCCAGGTATTCCCCATCCTTAGAAAACTTCCTTTAAATCCAGCCATTCCTACTAGCTATTGTTCTACATCTCTCTTCTCTTTCTCAGCCAAATTCTTTGAAAAAGCCATTTTAGTGCCTCCACTTACTCTCTTCTCTCTTCTAAACCCTTTTCAGTTTGGTTTCTCACTTCATTACCCAACTAACACTGGTCTATAAAGTTAGCAAAGATCCCTTAATAGCTAAATTTAATGGGTTCTTCTCCTCATCCTTCTTGACCTCTCCACATCATTTAATACTGTTGACTTCCATTTCCTTCTGAATACTCTCTCCTTTTAATCGATCAGCAAATACTTCTTAACCACCTTCTGTGTTCTAGATACTGTGCTGGGTGCTGAAGATACTCTGAATTTTCATGACACTCTTCTTTCCTAGTTCTCTTAGTTGTCTGGCTCTTCCTTCTAACCCCTCTTCCCTGGTCCATCATCCATTTTATGCATGCTAACTCTGGATATTTTCCAAAGGCTCTTTTCCTGGGACCTCTTTTCTCTACACAGTCTTTTAACAACCTTATTTACACCCATGGATTCAATTACTGTTTCAATGCAGATGACTCATAGAGCTATATATCCAGCCGTAGTCTGTCTCCTGATCTTCAGTTGTGCATCTCCAACTGAAGGTGTTCAAAACAAGATTCACCATCTTTTCCCCCAGATCTCTCCCTCTTGTGAGCTTTCCTGTTACTGTTGAGAGTACCATTATATTTCTGTCACCAAGATTTGCGACTTTGGAGTCATCCTTGACTCCACTAATCTTTGACATCCAACCACTTGCCAAATCTTGTCATTTCTATCACTACAACATCTCATGTTTTTCCTTGTTCTCCACTCACACAACCATTACCCTAATCCAGACCTTCATCACCTCTAGCTTCCATTGCTTCAATAGCATCTTATTCGGTCTCCCTGCCTGAAGCCTCTCCCTCTTCCAGTTCATCCTTCACACATAACTTCCAGAGTGATTTTCCTGATGAGTATGTCTGACAGTGTTACTCTCTCCTATTTAAATAAACTCCAGGGACTCTCATTTACCTCTTAGATCTATAAACTTCACTGTTTGGTCATTAAAGCTCGGCATAACATGACTCCTTCCTACTTTTCCAATCTTTTATTTTACTCCCCTTCCCACATTCTCCAGTCCAGCTGTATTGGCCTGCTTGCTGTTTTCATATATCTTCCATCTTCTTGACATTGCACTGGACTGTCCCCTGTGCGTAGAATTCACTCCTTCTTCACATTGACCTTTTGGAATCCCTCATTTCCTTCATGCTAAGCATCACTTTCTTCATAAAACCTTTCTTCATCCACTCATCCATCCCCAGCTGCTAAAAGCATCTGCATTCCCACAACTGTCTTGTATTTATTTTATATATATTTTTATTTTCTATTCTGTATATCTTTTTACATCTTCCTGTGTCACATCTGTCCTAGAGTACCTATCATGTAATACATACTTAATAAATGCTTGTTGATTGGTAAAATCAGTCACTGATTTTAGATACATGTGACTTTTATATGGATTTTTATTTTTTTCTCTATAAGTTACATTTATATTAAGTATTTACGTTAAAAACTGACAATTGAATGAGTTATTTCAAACTCAGAAGTAGCGAGATAGAAGCAAATTTAATGTAACTGGTGAACAAAATTCACTCTTGTAACTGAAAACAAAATTGAGAATTCCCTAAATTGTTTTGTTTAGGCCAAAAGCAAAGCATCTTTATTG